CACCCCCCCCCACCCCGTCATCAAGGCGCCTCATATATCTGGACGGCCAGCTACGGCGGAGGCATTCCTCACAAATCGTTTCCACTGCAATGACGTTTTCAGCTGGATGGGATGCCTTCATAGCAATGCGGCGAGGAGCCCAGCACTTAGTGGCCTCCCCGCCGGGGGGACAGATCCCCTGATAAATCCCCCCTGTACTAGAGAACAGGGCTGAATTTCCCCGTTAAGATTTCAGAGAGAACAGCTGCCGATTTTTATCAAAAATGCTCCCCCGTGACCAATTAATGCTGTGTACCAGGCCGCCCAATTGTGTAGGTGGGGTTTGCTGTTAGTGCATTCCATGGCCGCCCAAAAAAAAGCGTCGCCTGCTGCAGCGCAGTCAACATACATGTGACCGTTCCGAAAAGCAGCTGAGCTGCCTCCACTCTTCAACAATCCTGGTCACAGCGGCATTAAGGCCTGGGTTTTTGCGATGACAAGCTCCCTTCTTATGTACTTACCCATCATCATACAGACAGCACGGAAGGAGGAATATACATACACATCTAAGGCATACCGTGCTACCCATGGGGCCCAGCCCACTCTAGATGTCCAAACGAGAGGAGATGCATCGCACACAGTGTCCGAATCAACGGCACCTAAGGAACTTGTTTATATGAATTTCTACCACTGGGTTCTTAGCTCAGCACTGACGACGGCTTTTGCGCGAGGCTCGGCGCGCTCCCCCATCCCAAGGCCCCCTAATGCTCAACGCCTCACCTGTCGCCAAACGCTGGTGGGACGACATGAAAACTCCAATCATATTGTTCCAGTTGGATGTTTGACGCATCTATACTAGAGTTACATCTACACGAACACAACTGGCTAAGTGCATGCAACCTGCCCTGTCTTGCAGCAGTAGCAATATACTGCCGGTGGCTGCACCTCCTGAAGTTTTGCATGCACAACTTCCCATGATGAGACAATTACCAATTTCATCTAATGTATAGGGGCCCAGACACTCAAGAAAGGCTCCGTTTCGTTACGGGTTCCCCTGGAGCAGCCCCAATTGCAGCCAACTGGACCTTGCGCACGCCAGCCAATTGCAGCAAACTACGGAAGGACGCAGTACAATCCCGGCCAAGCTGTACTTGCAGCAGGACCACGCGAAGCAGCAGGTCTGCCATGATTTCTCCTCCGACCTATGCGGGGCATGGCAGATTCCAAGCAGTCAGAGGCCGACGAGCGCAGCGCCTACTATGGGCTTCTCTGCACCAGCAGACTCAGCGCGCAGCAGCAAGGCCTGTGGAATGGATGCAGCAACAGCGACAGCAGCAGCACGCGCTGATGAGGAATCCGTTGCCTCCCCTTCCCCGTCGTAGCAGCAGTTTCTCTCATGTTGGTGCTTCCATCCGCTGCAGCGCCACAGCAACCGCAGCCGACGCATTGCAAACAGAAGGAGCAACGGCAACTGCAAGGCAACCGTACACCTTTAAGTCTGCTGCTCATCGTGACATGGTGGTCCTCTCAACCCGTCTGCACCTGCTGGATTTGCTGCTGCAACGCTTTGGTCGTCTAAGGACAGCAGAATGCTGCCTGCTCCGTGAGGCCTCTAGCACCCCGCGGCTGCTGCTGCTTTGGGCAGACCTGCTGGTGGAGAAGGATCCGGAGCACCCTCCTGCAGACGCGTATTTTGTGCCCCCGGAGCTATATCGCTTGCCAGAGGTCAAGGTAAGCAACAGAAGCAGAAAGCGCATCAGCAGCGCCAGCTTCAAGCGCCGCGAACGAACTACAGTACATCTACGTGCCGCACGCGTGCGGATAGATCGTGGCTTTTAGCGGTGAGGTTGTTGCAGCCGCTGCTGTTGTTGACTCAGGCTTTGCTGCAGAGGGATAGAGAGCTGCGTTGGCTAATGCAGCGTATCGATCCAAAAGGGGTTGGGGGTCGGTGTGACTTCTCAAGGGACTGCGTCCCCGTCCCCCACTTCCCGTCGGTGCTGCAGCAGGAGGTGCCGCGCTTTCCGTACGAGCCACAGCAGCTGGAATTCCTGAGAGACACCTACGGACTGCTAAAATGGCCCTTCAGACCGGTTCGACCCGCAGCCAGAGCAGCAGCAGCAGCAGCCGCAGCAGGTGTGGCTGCGGGCAATGCCGAAGTGCCGCAGATATCACAGGCAGAGCCCACGACTGAAGGAGTTGCTGCTGCTGTTGCTGCCGTTGCTGCTGCAGTAGACTGCGGAGACGTGCGGCGTGCCAACAGCAAAGTACGGACACGCTGCTGCACGGATGCAATATATTCACCGGACGAGACAGAAACAGGTGCATATGTCTGGTAGTGAGCTCGGTTGGTGCAGTGCCAAAAGCAACTGCTGGCGCTGCTGGAGTTGGTTATATATTGTCACAGCAGTTGCCTTTCAAATTCCGTCACTTCACCTGACAAACTACAATTTTTAGTGAAGTTTGTATTTTCTCCTGTGCCTACACACAAGGAATAGCAGCAGTCCTTGCCCCGCCATACGTACGCATCAGTGCACCAAAGGCAGTTATCCCTCGGCATCTGGCGCCAGTCTCAGGCGTCCTGTTTGTGGCCTAGCCAACGGGTTGTCAATATTGCTTCATTTGAAAAGCTAATGGGCGGAAATGCCTGCCACCGAGGAGAGACACCCTTTGTCAATGCATCGAGTCTACAAACTATGCAACTGTGCTGAAGTCTCTGCGCGCTCCTAGCTACAGCCAGCAGTTGGGCAATGCAAGAGGGACGCGGCGAGTCGTCTCTGCTACTTATCATGCTATTTCTGTCGGACACTAGCTAAACACTAGGCAGGCTTGTGCTTGGGCTCGTATATCCTGGGTCTCTCTGGTGTTGTGTTGTTTTTGTCTTAAACATGTTGACCCCCCAGCCTTCAGTAGCCATTGCAACAAATACCCCCAATCCCTTCCCTTAACACAGGCCGTCGCTGTCTCCGTCAGCCTCCTGCTATCTCCCGCCCAATAAGCCGAGGCAGCGTTTCTACGTTCGAGCAGACGATGCACAAACCACAATGCTCCAGAATATAAACTTTGCTCTTTCAAGAAAACCCAATTTTATCCCAGCTAAATTCCTCGCATTAACGCGAAGCAAATACCTCAGCCCGCTGCAACTATTGTGCTGCTGCTGCAGCTCCTTCAAACGCCGCAGCCTTCACCACTAAGCAGCAGCTGCTACAACCATGGCTACTACGACTGTTCCGGTGCAGGCAGCCTCTGTGCTTCCGGCGGTGAACTTGTCGGAAGAGAACAAATGTTTAGTCCTGAGGACAAATACATTCACATAACACCGCCGGGATCCTTGCAGTCGGATGGCCCCTGCAACCGTCGTTCTGCTTCTCTGCACCTGCCACCCTGCCTCGCATAAACCATCTTTCCTAACTCGTTCAAATGCCCTTCTTGCTGAAAGCCTTTGCGCTGCCTATACCATTGTCAATTGCATTGCAATGCCCTAAGCTCTCTGGTGTGTGTAGGGTTCCTTGATGCTGTTGATCGACTAACCATGAATGCTGAACCCGTCAGGGGCGATATCTTGCGGGTCTCGAGGCCCCCTTGCGAAGCTCCTCTAAAGGCCCCTCGACCGCCTCTGAAGTTAAACCCCGACGTAACCACGCTGGATGACTCCTGGCCCCTGTAGAACCCGTCCCTGCCCGCATCTCCTCCACCTCGAACCCATCCGCGGCCTCTTCCTCTGCCTCTGCCACCCCCTGCAAGACCGACGCCGAAGTCACAAAGGCTAAGGACCGAATAAGAATATGAAACAAGAACCACGCACCTACACAAACGCTCAAACACAAGCAAGACCATGGAGACTCTAGATGCGAGACGATTCCGAACCTCGGACTGCATTGGACTCCTCATCTTTGTTGTAGCCGGGCCTCCCAAGGTTCTGAATAAGCAAACTCGTGCGCATGCCCAAGTTGCGGGTCTTGTCAGTCACCAACTGGTACAGACTAGGGGGGGCCCCTGCCATCTGTACACGATTTTTTTCGCTGTCGATGCGCGCCTCTGCAATAGCAGCAAGTCGAACACCAGCAACAGCACCTCATGCACACGCAGCTGAACCCGCCTAGTAGCAACAGCAACGAAACCAGACAGCGCTAAACACAAAGCACGGCAGCGGCACTAACCCAGCCTCGCATGAAGAATAAGATTGACAATCCAGCGTTCTGCAGCCTCAGGCACCATGTTGACCTTCTTGGCGATCATCCTGCGGAGGAAAGACAGTGCAGAGGAAGGGGCAATGCCCTCAGGTGAAGACGTCCGTTTTCACTCACACAGACGCACGGTGATAAACTGAACGGAGCACCAAGTGGAAACAGGCAGACATTGCTGAGCTGCGGAGACTACACCCAATGGACAGCACAGGTGAGCTGGCGAACTCATAAAAAGACAAAAAAGAAGGACATGAGACGCGCCGGGGAGACAAAAAGGAGGAAACGAGAGGAAAAAGCTAGCCAGCTCACTCGACATTAATTCGCTTGTGGATGCGGCAGTATGTCTCGAAGATGAGCAGACGAGCGTGTTCGTTTACTGCGCCCTTCAGCGGCTCCAGGAAGAAGTCCGTCTCACACAACTGCAGACAAGCCAAAACACCCTGGGCCCCCAGCACTAAACACCTAGCCCGCCCACCAGAAGAACAAGGCACAGGGAACAACAATCGGACGAACGAAACGAGCGCTTGCCTCCTTCCAACGGCGATAAAAACAGATGGCGCGTCTACGGGGCAACTGCCAGCGAAGAGAGGCAGCAGGGAGAGAGAGGGAGACAACAAGAGCGAGGGCGTGAACAGTAGACGTGCAAAGAGAATAATAATTACAGAAAAGCGCATAGAGAAGACCAAACCCACTTCTGAGATGCTGGTGATGTGCTTCTGCGCCTCGTCAAAGTTGAAGTCAAGGAAAAGAGCCTCCAGCAGCGATGTGAAGGCGTCCGTGTATTTATTTTTTGTGTGGCCAATGGCCTGACCAACGACAAACGGTGGATGCACAGGAAAAATAATAAAAACGACTTTAAAAGAACAACAAGATACATGCCTAACAAATACACCTCTCTATTTAAAGGTGCCTCCTAGCTTCTTCCCGCACGCTGCTCGCTCGTCTGTTGCTTGCAACTATTGGCCCTCTCTGCTCGTCTGCGCATTCCCTTACCCCCACAATGGCCTGAAAGTGGTCTTTCCTCTTGCGATTCATTATGGCGTAAACGGCGTAGTACCGCAGCAAGTGAGGACAAAGCAAGTGCACGCATGTGAGGTTCCTGAGACAGGCAGAGATAGCCAAACAAAGGGCTGTCGCGTACACAATAGGGAAGGAAACAGCCTTCAAAGAAGTGCAGCCATATACAGCTGCAGCCACTGTCCCTAGCCCCCAACAAATTCGCTCCTAAAGGCGTGCATAGCAAACCCGCCTTCATCGCCAGAGGAAGAGCAAAATCCAGCAGCAGCCAGAGCGACGCTCCACCCCATCGGCAACAGCAGCAGCAGCAGCAGCAGCAGCTCACCGCTCCTGAACGACCCAATCCAGGAGTGCCGACCAAGCCTGGTTTCGGCAGGACTGTCCTTTGGCGTATGTCAGGAGGAGGAAGTAACGCAGCAGAAGCCACATAGCCCAGTGCAGGAGCCACGCCCTTTGTTGCAGCTGCTGCTCCCGGGAAAATATCTTGCTCAACGGAGTCTCCGGCCCTATACCCGCCGCTGCCTTTAATGCGGCCGCCTGGGACTGATCCAAAATTTCAGCAAGACGCAGGATGCACCGTGCAGCCTGCAGGACCAACACCACAGCAGCCGCAGCAACTATGGAATTCCCGTTTGCTCCCATCGGCCGCAGCTGATGACCCTTGTCCTGCAGCAGCGGCAGCTTCACTGGTGGGAGAAACGGAACAAGCGTCAGAAGCAGCAGCAAGAGAGGAAAGAAACTAACACCGTGGGCTTCTATTGCGCCAAGGGCCTTGTCCTTTCCGTCCTCTCCGTCCTGGAGCTGCTGCAAAAGCGCTTCCTCGCTCTCTGCATTGGACTGCTGGCCCTTCGGAATATCTCCAGCGGGCTCAGAAAGCGTCAACAGCAAAATGCAGCAGCAAATGCCCCAAACACACGACACGGGGGTCTGCATGTCGCCACCTGAAGCCGCAACAGCAGCATTGGCACTTGCACTCATGTCTTGTATGTGAAGAGCGACGAACAAATGGAGCCTCCAGCCACTGGATAGCCACAGGTAGCGGTTGCCTAGCTGCCATCACTTGCAGCTAGCCCGCCTGCTGACCGCCCATCTCAGTCACGTCCCCAGCAAGGGGCCAGTGAAGGGCCAGCGCGAGTAGCGGGATGCTAATGTGCACCCCCCGGGAACCGTTCAAAACAGTTAAGACTCAACACATGAAGGGTGGGGCTGACTGTCACTGGTAAGCTCGGAGAGTGTGTTGAGGTAGAAGTCCAAGTGGTGCAGCGCCTTCTTGTAGTCCCCCAAGGAAAAGGCCACGCGGGCCAGACGCACAGGCACCATCTCCACCCGCGGGATCTCCGCCAAATTCGGAGTCGTGCTACCCTCCTCCCTGTTCTGTAGAAGCACCACCACCCGCAGCAGGCACAGGGGATGCAATAGAAACACCTGCCAGAAAAGGGGGCAAATTGACTGCTGCTGCAGACTTGAGGATGCCCGACCTGGTAATGCCATTGCAGGATATCTCGAAGTCTTTTTCTCTCTAGTTGGTTTCCTATCTTCCTCTGTTGTTCCCCTTTGAACGCCTGCAGCGCTTCTTCCAAGGCAGCACTCTGCTGCTCCCACTGCTGCAGCTGCTCCTCGGGCTCCTCTGCTTTTCCTCCCTGCTGCTGTACGAGTTCCCGCAAACGCTGGGCAATACCCTCTGGGGTCTTCGGTAGGATGGACTCTAACAGAGCGTCGGAGCTACTCTCTTCCAGCAACTGCAGCAACAAGTGATGCACAATCCAAATGCTAAGGGTTTCTCCAGATGACGCCGATCACTGCTGGCTCCCTCCGGCGCTGTGCAGCAGGGAACGTCTGCCTTATATTGAGCAAACGCCACCTGCAGAAACTCTGTCGAGATAGCTTCGGCGGTGAAGGGTAGTAAATGTGAAATGCATGCTAAGCGCCAACTGCTCCCCAAAGCATTAATGCCACCAAGCATGGAGGGCGAAACAGCGAGAAAAGAACCACAGGCTACTTCGGCCAAACGAACAAAGAACGCAAGCATACAAAATGCACCACCCACCTGCTGAGAACGCAGCCACTGAATGACAGGAACGGCCATGTGCGGTTCCCAGAAGAAGGACATCCGGCGCACAAGCGCCAAGTTCTCCTCAGTCGGCCCCATCGTCACTTCACGATCAACAGCCAGGCGCATGCACACCCGGCTTCGCCTATACTTCCCTGAAGCCGCTGCTAAAGTGCTGCTGCTGCGGCTGCTGTTGCCGCTGCTGCGGTCCGGTGTGGCTCTTGACGGAGGCTGGCGAACCCGCTGGTGTAGTGCCTGCGCAGAATACGTCCTCCGTGTGGAAACCAAAAATAACTAAATAAACCGCTGCAAACGCCAAAGTGGAGAAAATGTCGCAAATTTCCCGTGGATGCCGTTGCAGGGTTCCTTATGGACTCGGACTTGTGTGGGGTGGCGGAAAAAAGGAGAGACAGCAGCAGGCTCAAGAGGAAGAAAATAGTACGCTCTTGTAATGCACAAGAACTCTCCTGCTACTACAAAACATAAAACCCGACGGACCATCAACGAGACCCACCCACGACACCAGCCGCTGCCGTCAGCCAGTAAAGCGGCGTGCATGCGCAGCAGCCCCGGCCGCATCTAGGCTGTCTTTCTTTCTTATGGGGCTTCTTGTCTCTGCTCACCCGCGGCAAATCGTGCAGATAAAGTATTTGAAGTCTAGATCAATGCCATTTTGTCTCCGCAGCGGACACACGAAAGGTGAGGTGGACAGCACGAACTGCGGGCCCCACCCTGTGCCGTACCCTGTTTGGAGCGTGGCCCGCCTGAAATTTGAACTTATATTTGCAATTGCTTGCAGGTTGCCTACTGAGTTCTAAGCTAGTGTTCAAAACTACTGACAATGTTAGTGCATGCATCGGAAGCGGGCCTGAGCAAGGCCCTGTCTGCGGTTGGTACATGTTTCTGCTACTTGCAAGCAAGCCTACTGAGGGACAAGGAAGTCTTAAACAGTTGCCCACACACGCACACACACACACACACACAGTGCTCGTAACTAAAGTACTTGGCCATTTGGGTGGATCCTCGAGAGTGGCAATAGGTCAAAGGAGTTTTAACGAAGTAGTCGGCATCGCGTCCCGTGTCCCGAAGTCCTGGGCTCAGAGGGGAAGTAGAGTTAGGCGCATCTCTATCACAGAGACTATGGTACAGTGTTAGGAGCATGTATGTGGGGTTGCCTTGCAGTTGCAGCAAGTTGCGTTGCAACTCAACGACACGCTGGACACTAAAGGTCAGTTGCTGTTGTGGGGGCACCTCTCTAAATCTGTTTGACTCTTCTGCATTTCATGGGTGTCTTCGGTTAAGATGGACTATTGTTTTACTTGGCAGAAACGCGTAGTTCGTCATGGCAGGCGAGAGCAGCCAACCCCCACCACCCGCTCTGGGCTGCTTGGAGAGTTGCACTGGTTAGCTGTGGCAGCGCTATGCGGGAAAAGTAGGGAATAGCCTTTCGATGCCTTCTGCAATAATTCATCAAAATTCATCCCTTTTCTTCTCTGACATACTGGATAAATACCAAGGTTTGTCCTCCAGTGGGGAGGCGACCAACGCCTGCTCGCCTTGTCGAATTGGAACGAGCGCACTGCCCGCAACTCACCCAGTGGAATATCTCTTTACGGTAAAAACGCCTCATTAAGAGAGCCTCCATCCCTGCCGATCGTTCAAATATGAAGCGTTCAGATGCACGGGCAATGGAGGGACTCCTCTTAACTCTGTGGAAATGCATTTTCGTATTCAAATCCTTTTTTAGGAGACAGGAGAGTAATAGCTAAACCTAAGCAATGATACAGTTACTCCGGAGCGCATCCGGACCATTTAAGCTTTTTGATGAGCCTTAAAATGTTGCTTTACTCCAAATTCGGTAAAAGGGGCCACTATTGTGGAGCAAGGGAAGCTATTCATAGAACAGCATATTGGGAAGTCTCGCTCCTTGGTAGGCAGAACTCCAACGGTGAACACAGACCCAACATCCATAGGCACTTTATATAGGATACTTCTAAATCGATTTTTCACCTCTCAGCGAAAATTTCACTTTCACCCCTTTGATTCACCAATCTTCCATTACCTCGGCTAGCTCAAGAATTTCACTGCCTGGCTGCTTCCCCGTGGCCCAGTCAGTTACCAATTGCCTTCCTTCCTAGGATAGCCATACTATGAACCCCCACCACTAATATACATTATCCCAACTTTATGGGAAGCCTGGCCGAAAACTGGGAAGGCCGCATCTGCGGCCTTCGCTGAGTCGTCGACGGCATGCCCAGGACTAGGTCGTGATGAACTGGTCCAACATGGAAGCCCCATATCATGCTAATATGCCCCACTGAATTGGTCTCGTATTTTTCACCCATAGCCTTGTCGATTCTCATGTCTTGTCCGCCATCCACAAGGCTTAGTCATATAGACTCCGCCAACCAATGCACAGGTAGGTTGTACTCCTCGCTGTAGCACCAGACATCAGATGTGCTTCTCATTCTGTACCTAGAAGCTCCTGAATATTTATGCGAACTTCGATAAACACGAATGTATCTCGGGGCGGAACGGCGGGCGCCTCCACTGCCACCCCTTTCGGCTTCATCAGCGTCGCACGCTGCCTGAGGGCCACAGCGTTTCCCTTACCGCTTGCCTGTTCCCCCGGCAGCGCTGCTAGAGGTCTTGCTTCTCCAGTTCCTTCGCTCTTCTCATGCGTCTGCAACTTCGAATGATGATGTGGCATTAGATAGTGCAAAAGAAACAGATGCGCCGGTCGGTACACCAACCTGGCTCTTTAGTACAGTGTCAGTCGCTATTTCTTAGATTTTTCTGAGCGAAATTGGCATTCAGAGCGCCAGTATCCACAGGCTTTATATCTGGGTCATTTCCACACCCGTTCTACTCCTTCTCAGCGAGCGCAGTGGAAGTGGCTTTTTCCTCTGAAATATTTCATATCTTGCAAGGTCAATCATATCCTCCCTTAGTTCCCCTTCCGCGGCCTAGCCGGTGAACAGTTGCTTACCTCGGGGGAATAGCCCTGCCGAACCATTCATGTAGGAGCTCCCAGTCTACCGTTAAGCTTCTCTTCACCAAGGACAGAGCGCTACAGTACTCGCGATGTAGCGCTCGCTCCATAGCTTTCTTGCCTGAGTTTTATCGAATCTGTCATAGCCCGTCCCCTTGCCGTGCCGGGAATAAGTCTACATCGCAGCGCATGCTGGGAGGTTTCTAAAGCCCTGATGCACTTAGGACAAGGTGTGCCCTTGCTAATGTATAAACACCATTGTTGTGCTCCCCACTCTGAAAAGGAAGATGTCAATAGCAATTGTATGTCTCCGGTCTCGGGGTGCATTATAGAGACGAAAATACACTGCTGGAGAGCAAGGAACACCTCCACTGTCGACGCCCGTCATACCTGGACGCTCAGCAATGGCGAGGGCATTCTTCACGAATCCTTTTTCCTGTTAAGCCACTTTCCACTGGATGGGTTATAGGTATTGAACTGGTTTGAGCGCGATGAGTCTCCCAGCCGTTGCTCATTTCTTCACCAGACAGCAGGTCCTGGTGAATCACCACTACGCAAAAGGAGAAAGGGGATGAAATTTTGATAAAGATTTTGGGAGTGAGTATAACTTCTTTGGAAGGTTTTTCGAAGCACTTTGGCACCACTCACTGATACACACCTAGCCGTCTTGCTGTCGGGGGTAGGTTTCGCTGCTTGAACCTTTCCAGATGAGCAATACGACACCAAATGCAACGGGAGGGCGCAGCGCCATCGTGAGCTGGAATCGAACTAAAAAGAATGTGGGCAAGAGTTCTTAAAAATCAACTGATCCCCTCCAGTCCCCATACGTTCTTGGCATAGCGGCTCAAGGAACTGGGTTTGGGGAAGAGGAGGCGGCCTGACGTGAGTTGCAGTGCACCGAGTTGCAACTAACGCTGCAAGGTATCTTCACATACAAGCGCAACCAAACCCACTTTTGCTGTCGGCGCTGAGACTGTAGACAGCCCGTGCAACACCAAGCATGCACAAACGGAGCCTTAGCGACGAAGCACGGATTCAACTGATACCTGTAGCCAAGGGTAAACAACACAGAAGTCTGAACTCAAAAAGCAGATATAGAGCCGTCACCTGGTGTGAGCACGGCGAGGTTCATGGTGATTCTGGTGAAGTTGTAGTAATAGGCATTTCAATTTCAGTGGTGCGACTTGCCTCGGCCCGCACAGCATAACATCTAAAGTTTAAGTTATGAAACAAATGATAAAACAACATGGATAGATAATATTATGTAATAACTCAAGTTTAGATAATGGCGGGCGCCACGGATGGGCGTGCATTCGGTGATGAGACCATCGAGCCTTGACCATACTTTGCACGCCGAGCATAACGGCAACAGGGCACTTCAATTCTTTTTCTATTTTTATGAATTGAACAGCAAGAAATCGTCAATTTTGTAGAAATGGAGGAGTTATTAGAGGTTTATGAATGCAAGCTGGGGAATTATTTGTGATGGGTTGATGCTCGATAAGCTACGTTGTGGGAAGCGACCACCTGAGGACAACCGGATTTCGCAGTGAGAACAGTCATTTTTTCAAACGTGTATGAGATATATTTGCGAATGCACCTAAGGTGATTTTATAGGAAAGTGGTCACGCGTGGAGGCGAAGAGAGAGCATCTGCCTTTCGTGGGGCGGAGGTCCGGGGGGGCTTTCTCCGAGCTCGTTCCCGGTTAACAACATGGACACTCGCGTTAGTGGTTCAGCAGCAACTCGATAAATCAGGACAGGCGCAGTGGTCTAATCAGGCGAAGTATAGCACAAAATGGCTTAAAATTAGCATTTTCCGTGCTTTTTATCCTTGAATTAAGCCAAGCGAATATCATTGACGCTATTTCACTCGGTCGAGTGCCGGGCTGGTTCTTCGACTCCTGCCATGTTGTCCACAGCTTTTTTATGAATCCGCTTAGCTTAGAATTTGTAACGTACTCAGGGTGGCTGTGAAATGCAACTAGTCTCATGGGCTCGGGAGCCTCACTTTTTCGTGGACCAGCGTGATGACCAAGCACAGAGATCAGCCTGGCCTCTGGACAACGCTGGCTACCCTGGGAGCTTCGCTTCTCCCAATACTTTTGGCAGAAGACCCCACCTGACAATTACAATTAGCATTGCCATTATAGTTGTTTTGTCGGCTGTTCTGACAGTCTACGTTTGCCTCCTTCCCAGGAGCATGAGGAAATGGAAGGCTCCAATTATCCGTCGGCTTTCGTCCAGTGATGATAGAAGCGAAGACGAGTGCCAGGACTTGCTGGCCTCACGGAACACAGAGGGCGAGGAAGAGAACATGGAGCCCTCGCAGCCCGTAACTATCTTGGACGGATCACGCTCAGGACTGACCAGTGGACGAAGGAAAAGGAACCATAGCAGGGGTGCCGCAGTCGAGGAAGGGAAACGAGCAAAGAGGCCATGGAGAGAATATGGACAGGACACTACAAGTAAAGGTCAAGGCATCGAGGATGCCCCATCACCTTTGGCTTCGGAGCCTTTTCCCTCCAGCACTCACGCACTGCTTATGGAATCTCCCTTCAGTCCATACCTGTCTGCCGAAGGTGGAGTACCGGAAGTAGAGACCTCAGAGGACGCTGAATCTGCTGGGCCTGACTGGCTAGACATTTTCGTGGGCTCGCCACCAGCCATTGAAGAGTGGTTCGTGGACTTCTTTCTAGATCCGTCCTCGACGTCGCTCTCGGCCATAGACAGGGAGACGTTCGGTGATACAGTACAGCATGATGAGAGGGAAGACAGTTCACCGGCTTACAGTGTGGCCTCTGCCACTACGGAACAGGAAGAAGGTCAGTCACTACCATATGCAAGAGGGCACGCGATAATACCCCGCTTTTTTTTTGGGTAACTCAGGATTTGCGGGGCTGCCAGGATTCCTGCGGTTGGCTTTGCAGAAAAGAGGAGCGGATCAGAATCACCGGAGAAGTTTCGGATCCCTGCGGTGGGACAGCACTTTTCAGGATTCACGAGACTTGCATGCAGTTGGATCCCTACTGGATTTAGCGCCAATGTATTGAATAACACATTGTCCTGTATGTTTTACTGGATTGCTGCATCTACGGCGTGTTTGTCTTTACCTCGAATTGCTTTTCTCGCCGTCGTGGGTATCCCTTGTTGTCGAGTTTCGGCTACAGTTGTTTTTTTCTGCGGTGTTGCTTTTTCCAGGAACATTCATATGCCGCTGCTGCACCGCCCCCCAGCCCTCCTAATACCTCTCAGCCTTCCATGCATGCACAGACACCAAAGGTGAGTGGACAGCAGGCGCTGCTGCTCTCTCATCGAGTGGCTGCGCTGCACCTTCAGCAAGCAAATCTTTAACAGGCTGTTCTGCGAGTCCTTTACTCTTCTTGCTTCTCCTCTTATTGGCTTTAACTGCATTATCAATAGGAGTTCCTACGCGTCATACTGCGTGGCCGTTCCTTGGCGCTTGCCATCGTCTTCTTTGTGTTCCGTGTAGCTGTGATTTGTTTGCTAAGGTGGCGGGCAACTGCCCGGATCCATTACATCACCCCTTCTATAGCCTACCGAGGGTCGGTCAACGAAAACATATGGAGCCGTTCGATTTTAGGAGAGCGCGAGGCTTCCCTCGTTTGAAACCGCTTTCCGAAGTACTGACGCCGGTTCGGGTCCTGCTACGCAAGTCAAAACTTGAACATGAAGACCTCCAGCAATTGATTATCTTGGCCGAGAAACTCGTCCAGTGTGCATTTGGTGTGGACAAGGTTCTTGAGAAAGCTCTCTTACCGTCTCAACTCGCTGAGCCACTCACGCGCCGTTTTCTCTTGGCGGATGGTTTGTGGTCCATTTGCGAACTGGTTGGTGCACCAATGAAGAAGGAAGAGTGGTGGCCTTTTCTTGCGGCGAAGCTGTTGGACATTCCCTCAGCGCAGCGGGCTCGTTTGAATCGCCATTCGCTCTCTCATAAGTTGCTTGCGGCGTTAGAGGTATTCGCAACTGGGGCGCGTCCTGATGCATGCACAGTCGTTCAACTGAAACGAGAAATTTTCTGTAGTCGGAGCGCCCCAACTGTTTTTCGCGCTAATCCATACAATCCGTGGAGAGAAGACGATATGTGCTGATTTCTTGCGGATTCCACATCAAAACGGACCATTTAAGAGGAAGCTGCATATTACACACGTACAGGTGATTGCCTCCACGAAGAAGACCAATTTGGCTGAATTGCACTATGGCGTTTGCTCCGTCCAAACTGAGCCATATGGGATAACCAATCCTCATTTCGGGATATCAGCGAACAGTAGTATACCCTTCTAAGATACGCACAAGGGACCGCTTGTCTTAAGGAAAGAAAGTTGCCTAGCGGGAAGGTACTGCAAAACATAAAACCAGTTGAAGCAAGCTGACGATGGGAGATTCTTGGATTCTCCGCCGTCCCAGGTGTTGCGATTTTGCGCTCGTGTTGCTCCTGTCTTGTTGAAGGGAAATTACCGTTAAAGTGCGTTGTATCTTGCTTAACTATTTCCCAGGGCATCGCACTGAACCATGGTTTGGCGGGGATTTCGTGCGGTGCTCAGGCAGTTATTTGTCGCAGTTCAGGCCTCTGTTGACATGGCCTTGTCTGGCGTTTTATTGAATGCCAAACCAGCCAGAAAAAGGATTGTAATGCAACGAGATATGTTGTTGCTTTATGAATTTCGATGTGGTCGATGTGGGGGGTGGGTAGAAGGAAAGGGACGAGGACGATGCATGACATTATCGCTGGTAATTGAGGGCCTCGAAAGAATAGAAAATGCACCAGGTGGACCCTTGACGCAGGCGCCAGTGCGCCGGAGCGTGAACTGTAGCAAGCAGGTTGAAGCTGGCAAGCCATGATACTCACTGTGCAAGGAATTGTCAACTTTGTGCGCATAGATCGCTCGGTCAAGTTTTGCATGTGAGTTTTAAAGATGTAATGGACTTGCTGCTCTAAACGCTCACTCGGAGGACGTCGCATCGTTTCCCTTGGAAGTGCCGAAGAGTTGCATCTACGCTGCAGAGGGAAAACCAGATTTTCAGCAAAACCACAACGCTGCCATGAAGGGCGACACTTGAGTGCACATGCTCCTCTGGTCCTCGGCCTCACGAGGGGGAAGTAATGCTTGCAGGGCAGCGCATTAACTCGCAGCAAGGTTTGCGCTCACGGCCAACACTTTCCTGCAGCGTAGCTCCTTGGCTGTTGGCGGACAAAGTCGTCTGTAGTACGTGAAATGCGATGCATCTACAGAGCGTGGTACGTCTGCGGGATTGAAAATATATTTTCGTCGGTTGACGAGAACGACAGACTTGCGTCCGTGGCGTTGCCTTGCACCTGCCATGAGTTGCAGGGTACAGTGCTGCAACTCATACCAGGCTGCTTCCTCTCCGTACAACTGCAGGCCCTTGGGCTGCTGTTCCCAGGACGCCTGGAGCCTCTTGGGGGAGATCCCCCCCCAAAGAAAAAACTTCTGAGCAGTTTTTTCCGAAGTATTTTTTTGGTTTCTTGCTGCTCATGACGGTCCATTGCTAAAGTCGAAGACCCGAGTTGAGGCTGCTTAGAGCCAGGTGAGTGTTATACACCTGCCTATCTCACGGTGTTAGCGCCAACTGGGGGGAGCTCTGTTGCAAGTGTTGCTTCTAGGCGTTCTGCAACTCTGACGGAGTGTCTGCTCTCCGTATCAGCTACAGGCCTTAGCGCCTCTTTGCTATGCACAGCCTGCCGGGAGCAGCCTTTTGGAGAACACTTCGAACACTTTACTATTTTTGGCTCTCAGGCGGCTTACCGTCGACTGAGGACACTCACTTCACTGTTCACAGTTCCACCTGCCGTTCCTCCTGAAATAAGCGTTTGTTTTCAATATCTTTCAGCCACCTTTACAAGATATAGGGGCCCTTCAGCAGTCGCCGTACCACAACTTGCGCAAGGGGAACGCCACCTGTGACCGATTGCTGACCTGGAATAATACGCTTGCTGTGGCTATTTAGCCTGCTCATGAAAATGAATCGGGGATGTTTACTTTATACGCAAACTAGATAGATCAAATACTTTGAAAAACACTTGCACCCACGGTACAGCCACTGCTTCGCTGCTACAGCAACAGGGCTGGGGGGCCCGCCGGTTCAACTGAGGCCCACCGGGAGGAAGGGTTCAACAACGGCAATTGCTGGCAGGCGAGAGAGCGGCAAGCACTCGGTTTTACCGGCCAGCAATCAATAATAATATGGTATATACAGAAAGGACACTAGCTAGCAGCTGCAGAGTTGTCGTCTTCGGTGGTCACACTACAGCAGCTGCTCCCCTTTCTGGGGGTGTTCCCGCTACTAGAGGCTATCTGTTAAAGACCCATGCGGTGTATATTTACATTCGGGACTCAATCCCCTCGTGTGGACGGTAGAGGGCAATGCAAGCACACAGCTGACAGCACCCAGCAGGGGGACTCAGACAGGCGCCCCAGCTACAACAGTATCAGCAACTAGGACAGCAGCAGAAGCAACAACTAGGGCTGCAGGAACAGCGAATCAGAAGGGACGGCAGCACCATCAGCCCCATGACAGCAAGGCAGCGTTAGGATTTCTGCAGGGGGCTTGCGAGTAGGAGCATCTCGCCCGTTGCATCCCGTTGCATCCCTAGCGTCAGCAGCAAGAGCAGCAGTGCCAGAAAAAGACGCATCGCCAACACACTGGATGACCTACTAACGATGCAGCAGCGTCTGCTGCTACTGCTGCCTCGGCTGTTACAGCTGTGTGGCAAATGAGGGATCCGTGTGGCGAGCCTTCATCGGGGGGCACCAGGGGAGGGGGCCACTTGAGAAGGGAAAGCTCATGTAGGTCTACATACAAAGGCGTTGGCTGCGTCCGTTGCTTTTGTCCTTTCATGGATTATCCCGAGGCAGCAAGGCCCCCACTGCTGGGTGTTTATGTAGATGAGGAGGAAGCAGCAGCAGCAGCGGCAACTGTCGCTTCTCCGGTGTCTGCAGCAGCAGCAGCGGCTGCAGAGCTCGCACGTTTAGCAGCAGGGAAGCTGTTGCAGCAGTGGGGCCCCAGAGCATGGACAGACCCTAGGGCGAGGCGGCAGGTGCTACTACCTGGGGCTGGAGGCATAGTGGTTTGCAGCGAGAAGTTGCTGCTGCGCTGCAGCACACTGACTGGAGTGTGCAGCAGCAGCAAACACTTGCCTACTGCAGCCTGTTGCTGTTGCTTCGCCTCCCCTACACCCAGGGGCCCCCTCTTGGTGGTTGGCTGCGTAGACGGGGCCCTTCGGGTCTTCGCGGGAAGAACCCTGCGGCTCCTTATAACGCTGCAGACAACGGCTGTTCCTGCTGGGGCAGATTCTGATGCTTTTGATTCTTACAGCCTCTCGAGCGCTGCTGCTTCAAAACGGCGGAATTCTCATTGCGGAGTCTCCGTTGCAGGCTCACCCGAAGAGACCGAGGCAAGAGAAACACCACCAAGCAGGTCATCTCGAGGTGCAACAATGACTGGGGCAGCGACTGCCGCATGCACTCCGTCCTCTGCTGATTTTATTCCAGCTGCTGCTTCTGTATGCAGTTTGCAGCAAACACCCACCTGCTTGTTGCTCGTTGGGAACAACGCCCTTCTTGCTGGACTGGGTGGCGGCCTCGCTGCCGCATTTTTTCTCGAGAACTGCCGCCTTGCTGCAGTTTACCGGATGCCGCCTTCGGTTCGGTGCTTTCTGCAGCATCAGCAGCAGCTGCAGCAGCAGAAGCAGCTTGCCCTTTTGCCAGGACACACAGCGGCAATGCAGCAGCTGCAGCTGCAGCACTGTCGCGATCAAGCAGCACGGAAATGGCGGGGGGAGCCTGCCAAGCTGCAGCAGCCTCACGGCGGCAGAGGCAGCAGTAGCACAGGCAATAGCATTAGCCCAATTCAGCTCGCTTTAGAGGCCCAGTTACCTGTCTGCTGCTTGTCGTCTGCAGCAGCAGAACGCCTGGTGGTGATGGCGGTGCATCCGGAGGGGTGGAGAGACACACCTCTGCCCCGCAGCAGCACCAAGGAGAGCAGCAGAAACAGGAGCAGCAGCACACTGCATCGGTGGTGGCGAATCTCTACAAATGCTACCTACAACAGAGCGCCTCTTCCAGCTGCTGCTGCTGCAGAACCCAGTGCTGCTGCGGATATGTGGGGCCCATGCTGCAGCAGGAACATGAACGCAGCGAAGTCTCACGAGGCACGTGCAGCAGCACGTACGACAGAAGCAGCAACAGATGTAACAAGGGCAGAAGCGAACGCAACGAAAGCAGCAACAGCAGCAGTTGACTCGATGGAGTCCGTTGCTTCTTGGCCGCTGCTGCTCTTTCAGCAACATACCGGTGTCTGCATAGGGACGTTGTGGGGAGGCAGCTCCCGCACGCTTGCAGTGGGCCTGGGGAAGCTCCTTATTCAGCCGCGCAAATGCGAGCAGCACCAACAGCAGCAGCAGCAGCAGCAGCAGCAACTGTGCTGCCTGGCAGTAACTACCACGCATGTCCACTTCTGGCAGCAACAAGATCTTTCCTACAGCAAAGGAAGACTGCACCAAGGCTACAGAACGCAACCACCTCGTAGACGGCAGGATCAGCAAGCCCGTGCTGCTTCATCTCTTTCCGGCTTGATGGCTGATGCAGTTCATCAAGGACGTGCAACAGTAGCAGCAGCAGCAGCAAGTGCAGCCGCAGCAGATGCGGCTGCATGTGCAGCAGCAGCAAATGCGGCAGCGCGACTCGAGCAACAGCGGCTACTTCACGAGCAGCGAAACGGAGATGCCACCGTATGTCCTTCTTTCCTTTGCGGGTGCCGGGCCTCGACATGTCAGCTCGCCGCCGCGACAGCAGCAGCAACAACAGCAGTAGCAACACCAGCAGCAAGAAGACAGCCAGAAACGGAGAAGCCTCAGGCGGATGAAGAAGGAGGCTCTCCAACCGCAGCAGCAGCAGCAGCACAAGCAGCAGCACAAGCAGCCGCACAAGCAGGAGTAGCAGAAGGTGGCTGTGTTAGTGGCATCTGGTGGTCCCTCCAGGCCAGCCTCCCTCTCGCTCTCCTCTTGTCACAGCAACGACAACAGCAGCAACAGGAAGAGCGCTCATTAGCCGACGCAGTCCTTGACTGGGGATCTAAACTAATGGTGCTATTGCCCAGTCGCAGCTTCAGCTGTTGCTTGGTCTCGTGGTGCATTGGAGAAAGCGGCTTGGAGTTGCTGCCTCTTCGCTGGGTGCAGGTGATCTATATAGCTGCTCTTGCTGCTGCATGTCTTGATGCAGAAGCTGCATCTTCACTTGCTTCTGGTGGTGCAGGTGACTTAATTGCGGTGCTGTGTGCAGGTTGCTGGGACGGGACGGTCTCTGCAGAAGCCCGTTCTGCAACGGCTTTGGTACGTCGGTGGATTTTGCTGCTGCTGCTACCATTTGGTGCGGCTTTGATTGCTGCTGCTGTCCCTTGTATTTTTGCAGCAGTTGCCGGTGGCGCTATGGCTACGCGCGCTAAAGCTGTGAAGCTTTCGTTCTACCAGCTGCTGCTTTTGCTTGTCCAGGTGTCGGGAGTGCCCACGGCCGTGCTGCAGCTCTGTTGCTGCCCCCTTTCCCTGCTTGTTTGCTGCGCAGGTACCACCGGGGGCTATTGGCGGCCTCTGCATCAGACGGCAATGTCCGTCTGCTGTTTCGCGCGAACCACTGCCTGCAGGAACAGCAGCAAGAGGATGGGCAATGAGAGGCATGTGAGATCTTGCCTCCTCCTGCCCTTGAGTACGGAGCGGCACAAACTAGATGAACTGCAGTTGGTTGGCTTGCTAGCCAGCTAGCTAGCTGGGGCAGAGCTGCTGCTATCCACCGTTAGCTAACTTATTAGAAGCAGCAGCTGCTCACGCTGCTGCAGCAGTCCGTGCCTTTCGTTTGCCGTGCCTCAGGCACGCAGCTGGTTTGGCCGTAGCTAGCCGGCTAGCTTTTTAGAACTGGTTGCCTGCACAGTGCCGCTGCAGCTGTGGCTGGCTGATTAGCTGTTGCGCACACTCGCGTGTGGGATGAGCAGGAGGCTGCAGCCGCTGCAGGAGCGAGAGACTGCTGCTGCAGCTGTAATCATTTTTTGCTCCGCCAGTCTATTTAACAGCGTCGCAGTATTATGTTAGTGTACAAATAGCGCCTTTTGTTTGAGTTTCGGTGCACCACAGTGTGCAACGATAGTCCTTGCGGGTACGGGGAAGGTAGCAGTATCTCCTGCAGACAGTTGCATGAAGGCATCCAACTGCTGCAGCTGTTGCAGTGCTGCTGCAGGTGGTTGTGCACTGCGGCTCTTGGAAGGGAACTGCTGCGTGGGTGCTCGTTGTTGGACGCGGAGGATTTTCCGTCTGTTGCTTCAGTGCAGATATTTTTCACTTGTAGGGCCCCAACGGCTCGGTTCGCATTTCCGTGTTCGCTCCAAAGCGCAGACAAACAGAGCAGTTGCTGGCAAGGGGTGGTAGCAAGTATGCTCGAGACAAAGAGAGAGTGAAAAACCAAAAAAATGGAGCCACAAAACGAGAGGGGGGGGAGAATGGCTATTCGTTGCCTTGCGCGGGCTGGCGACGGGGCAGTGCAGTCACAGCAAAAGCCCAAGAAGAGGTGAAGAAAGATACGTGCGGAGAGAGGAGGCAACGAAGGACACCTGGGTGAGAAGCAGGCAATCTACCCAGAGATGCAGACAAAGCAAAAAGCCCAAAAAACCCAATATCCATACAGATCAACATAATGGCGGGCACGTGCTACGAGAGCGACAAGAAAGCCGAGGGGAACCGGGAGACAAAGCGGGGAACCAAAAGAGGCCAAGGCAGACAACTAGGAGACAGGGAATTGCCAGAGGGAGGGATAAAGAGGAGGGCAGCTTTAGTTGTCCGTGAAGTCTTCATCCGATTCCGCCGTCGGCTCTGATGTCTCCACATCTCTCGCCCAGTCAGAGTCTCGGGGGTCCTCTCCCTTGCGCACCCCAAACCTCCTGCGCTTCCTTCGTCGCCACGTGGGCGGGAATCTTTGTTGCTGCTGCTGTTGCTGCTGCTGCAGCTGCTGCTGCAGGCGTTTGCGGCTCCGAGCGCCGCGATGCAGGGGCGATGGTGCAAGATCCCCCCTCTCAGCGCAGCTCAAGTCATTGCCGCAGGAAACTACTTCATTCACCATCTCCCTTATAAGGCTAGCGCGCGTCTCTTCGCTTGCCGTTGCTGCTTCTGGATTTTCTGCTGCTGCTCCCTCTGACGAATCTCCCTGTAAGACAATGTTCAACCATAGCCTTCCCAGTGTGGCTACAGCATGGCGCTGCGAAGAAGCAGCAGCAGCAAACAGCCGCCACGCAGCCTTCTCCTCTAAGATTGCGGGAGGCAGCGGAGCGGTGCTGCGTTTGTTGCGGCGAATTGACATGGGGCTCTTCTTTGCTGTTGCTGCTGCTGTTACAGAAGGTCCAGGGGCAGCTCCAGCAGTGGGCAAAGCTGCTGCAGCGCCGCAGTCAACCACTCCACCTTTGCGCGACGGCGGAATTTTGCTGTTGCTGCTGCTCCTGCTACTGCTGCTGCTGCTCCGACGGCCACGCTGTCGCATGAGCTCCCAACCTCTCTTTTGCTGATGCTGCTGCTTGACGCCTTTTGTGCCAGAGTCGCCGCACTCGTGGCTGTCTATATCCTCTTGTACAGCAGCAGCGTCGCTGCCGCCTTCAGCTGCATTCATGACATGGAAGCCCTGCAAGAGAACAGATCTCAGTTTTGAGGCAAAGCACCCACAGAAAGCCGCAGTTAGAGCAGCGACCTGACGGTGCTGCTGCTGCCGTTGCTGCTGTTGCGGTGAGTGCAACAATATATCAACAGCAGCACCACAGTCAACGGCCACCCCTTTTAGAGCAGCTGCTGCATCGGCTGCCTCTGACGGCTTCAGAATGATCGATAGCAGCACATCAGCAACAAGCCTCAAGTGCAGCAGCGCGGCCAATACAGCAGGCAGCAGCGGCAGCAATCCTACGGGGGTCTGTTGCAACCACGGGGCGATTGCTGCATCTGCTGCAACCGCAGCTAGCGAAGGCGGCAGACTGCCTATCCATGCAGCAACACGTGTATCAGGTTCTTCTCCTGCCGCAGATGAGCCGGCAGTCTCTGCTGCTGCAGGCGGGAGACGGGCAGCGAGACAAGCAAGAGCCTCCACGCTGCTGAACCGCCTCAGCTGGGCCACAAGGCCGAGTTGAATGTCCGTGGGTGAACCCTACACAGCAGCAGCAGCAGCAGCAAACACGAAATCATCAACAGAGCTGCCAAAGCCGTCTGCGGTGATGAGGATCCAGTGTCAACAACCGCAAACAGGACAGCTGATACCTGCAACAGTAGCAACAGTAACGTACTCTGGAGCTTCCCCTTTTCGTGAAAAAAGCAACAAATGCGGAGACAGCGGCAGGGTCTACTGGGGTAAATGGCGAGAGCAGCAGTGCAGCAACAGGCGCTGCTCCTTCCTCCTGCAAGTGCAGCAGCTTCGAGCTGCTGTTGTCGCTGCCAAGGGATAGGCATTCTGCTGCTGTGACGTCTACTGCAGCGCGGTGTATGCACAGCAGCAGCGAGCTATCCAGACATTCCTGCAGCCGACCAGCAGCAGAGGCAGCACTAACGCCGCCGAGCGCTTCTTGCAGCAGCAAAGAAGCAGCACGCGCCACTGTCCTGCTGCTACAAAACAGCAGAGCAGCTGCCTGAGGCACCAACTCGCTGTGATAGAGTAACCCAAGCCTGATACCCACAACGCACACCTAAGCGCGCTTGGGGGTGGGTATATATATATATATATATATATACAGACGCAGGGAACGAGAGGCAAAGAGAGAGAAGGA